AACACCAATTCGTTTCTCAGCTAAAATTAGCGGGGAAGCTGAATTGGTGTTGAGGTAATGTGACGCCAGTTTTACCACCAAATTTAGCTGGGAAACTGAATGCGTATTGTTGCATCATGGGACGCCACAGACCTACACACCAATTCATTTTCTACGGTAAATTTAGCGGGGAATTGAATTCGAGTGTAGGTCTGGGCGTCCCATAATGCAACGCACGGGGTTACGCAGACGGCGACGCCGCGAAACACGGGAACGAGCGCCTAAGAGCTGAACTCTAAAATGGTCAATATGCAGGCGTGTTGCTGCATATTAATCATGATGTATAAACAATGACACTGGTAAGGACACTTGAACGCAAACCACCAGGGACAAGAATCAAACGAACAGACAGCGTCTCAAAATTAGTTCAGCTAAGTTTGTGACGCTGTTTGTACAATTCCTTCTTGCACCTTCTACTTTGTGTAAAAGTATCCTCAGCAGTCAAAGGGTGTAAATCATGACTATTTACAATGTAGGCCTAAATCCCGTGCCCGCCCGTGACCCGGTTCTCTGAAACACTTGCCAGTAGGTTGGTCAGCTCAGCACGAGTCCGGTGACCAGGAACGGGCTTCCCACACTCGACGTTCCTTCTACGTCCAATGCGCGCGGAGCTTTTCCGAGCACCACCAAAAGGTGCCGAAGCGCCATCTCTTGGGCAGGATGAGAAACAGAAATTCCGAGGCTATTTTTGTCGCCCGGGCCTAAATTGGAGGAAGAAAGTAAAACACAGGAGGGGGAGAGCGCTCATTCCTCCGTTATGTGCTATGAAAGAAAGAGAAAGAGGAAGCTTGAGACATGCATCATACGCGCGCCCACAAGGCAAAACAAAGAAAGAAGAAAAATAGATACATTACTAAGTTGCGTTAGAAAGGAAAAAAACAACAACATTATAAGGTCACGACAAAAAAGAAGTGAAAGAAAAAAGAAAGAAAAACAACAAGAAAAACAGAACAAAAAAAGAAAGCTGTTTACAACTCCATGTAACACCGAATTGAAGCGCAGCTCTTGAGGAGGAAGATGGAAGGGTACTGAGGGTCACCTGTTCTCGGGGCGGGGGGGGGGGGGGGTCGCGTGACCTTGTGGGGTCATGTGACCCCCAGAAAAAAATTTTCCGCTAGATTTAGCGGGGAAATTTTTCCGCTCGATTTAGCGTGGAAATTTTTTTCTCTAGATTTAGCGTGGAAATTTTTCCGCTAGATTTAGCGGGGAATTTTCTTCGCTAGATTTAGCGGGGAAATTTTTCCGCCAGATCTAGCGGGGAAAGTTTTCCGCTAGGTTTAGCGGGGAATTATTTCCGCTACATTTAGCGGGGAAATTTTTCCGCTAGATCTAGCGGGGAGAGTTTTCCGCTAGGTTTAGCGGGGAATTATTTCCGCTCCATTTAGCGGGGAAATTTTTTCGCTAGATTTAGATTTTCTCCGCTAGATTTAGCGGGAAAATATTTCCGCTAGATTTAGCGGGAAAATATTTCCGCTTGATTTAGCGGAAAAATTTTTCCGCTAGATTTAGCGGGGAAATTTTTTCGCTAGATTTAGCGGGGAAATTTTTCCGCTAGATTTAGCGGGGAATTTTTCCGCTATTTAGGGGGATATTTTCCGCTAAATCTAGCGGGGAAAATGTTTCCGCTTTTAGCGAGGAAATTTTTCCGCTAAATCTAGCGGGGAAATTTTTCTGCTAGATTTAGCGGGGAAATTTTTCCGCTAGATTTAGCGGGGAACTTTTTCCGCTAGATTTAGCGGGGAATATTTTCCGCTAGATTTAGCAGGGAAATTTGTCCGCTAGATTTAGCGGGGAAAGTTACCCATAACGCACCGCGCGGTTACGCCGACGGCGACGCCGCCGACGCCGACGGCGACGCCGCTCAAGCCGGGAACGGGCCCCTAAGAGCTGCGCTCTAATATTTGGGTAAAGTACAGGCCTGCCAAGATCACTTTTGGATCTTTCATTATCCGTCCAGCACAATCAACTCTGCTTTTCGTTTTCTCCCCGGTCAAAAAAGGCATTTTTCCGTACACGTCCTCCCATTGAAAGGTCGTAAGAGGCATAATTATCTCCATTTTAGGATCTCGCCCTGTTTACGTCCTGTTACCATCTGGTCAAGGATAGTTGCGGGTCTCAGCTTGGACGCCTAAGGGCGTCTGGGTTCCCCTCGCTGGTGCTTGTTGAGGTGTTGGGGTCCCTGTTACGGAAAGTGAAGGGGATTCACAAGCGAAGACTTTATTTACAATGGAAGTGCTCGGTAGTGGTTCCCTGCATTCCAAAATTTTCCCACACTTCAAAACAAGTTGCCAGCAGGTACGAGGTCCCGGTGGTGTTTTCTCCTGCCTACAATATAGCCAATATCTGTTCTAAAGTGAGTTCCGTTATTGACAATCACTCAACACTAAAATGCCAGAAACGTCAGAAGCACCAGCTTGTTCCCTGCCCACTAGGTGTTGTGTACATGGTCCCCCTACCGTGTTGTGGTTGTTATATAAGACACACTCGACAATGTCTTAATGGCGACTCCGTGAACATTTCTATTCACTGCACGCCATCGTGGCAGGCCTCTTGCCCCTACACAGCCTCACCTGTTAGTCCTCACCAACTTTTTCGGACACAACAATATTAGGACGATATCGAGATCGGGAACTAGAGAAATTTGTGAAGACTAACACATCCAAAAATCAGGACATCGGTGTGTGGGTCACCCTTCACTATCTTTGAATGACAAGGAGGTCGAGTTCCTATAGCCAGTGCGTACAAGTGATCTTGGCCGGCCTGTACTTTATACTAATGTTTTTTTCTGTTTTTATTGTCACCTTTGTTTCTTTTGTTTTCATCTCTTTTTCGTCGTGACCTTATAATGCCGTTTCTCCGTTTCTGCCGAAACTTAGTAATGTATCCGTTTTTCTTCTACCTTTTTTTTCCTTGTGGGTACGCGTGGGTTTTATGTCGGAAGCTTCCTCTTTCTCTTTGTTTCAAACTGCATAGGTTGGGAGTCAGTGCTCTTTAATATGTTCTTGTTTCTTCCTCCTGTGCTTATGCGCTGTTTTATGCGCGTATTCTCGGAACGCCATAGACTTAATTGCATTAATCAAATTATAGCATAAAACATAGTCCTACAGGGCTCACTTCAGTGAACACGTGGATGACCAAAGGCCAAGAATTTGAATTGAACACATATTTACCTGCATTCAAAAAAAGATTTCAATTAGTGCGAACGCACGAGATCCACAACTTTATTTGAACGGTATTGTACTCACGTCAAAGTACCATGAATATGAACGCTGATCTGCAAAACGTCGAGAGCAATCGAAACTTCGGGCTACCTGCCAAAAACTTGAATCCACCTGGAGCCACCAGAATTGGCGCCATCCGCATTCAAGTTATGTCAGCTTTCAGAGTTCAGGTTTGGAAGCTCGTACCACAAAGCCGCTGACCGCCAAAAGAGAAGCGTCGGCCTCTTTACCGGCCCACAGTCGTGTTGCTTCTTCGGTTGCGTCTTGAAGAAGAAGCAACTCTTCTTCCTTTGTCACAAGCGCCCTTATGGGGTTTGTGGCCATCAAGTCCTCTGCAGAAATAGAAGAATCCAAATAGACAAGAAAAAAAAGTTTAGTAAGGGGTACTCTGCAGAACACTCCGAGGGCACCGCAGCCCGGCGCAAGTGGGGCCAAAACTCGCGCTCGCGTTACAGAACTCAGAAATCCTGAGTTAACCCTCCACCCCTGCCACTTTAAGATATAGATGAGGATTGTAATTGTGCGCGATTGCCTGATTATTAGGTGATACACGATAAATAAAAAAGGTAAGTTGTTGCACCGCATATGCAACAGTCTTAAGGCGTGCTATTTCGACCTCAAGGTAGACAAATATCTTATTCCTTTCAAATAACCTTATGCTTTTCAACACTACAGGTGGTAAAGTCGATAAAAACGCTGGGAGTATTTTTCACGAAATCATTATCATGGAATGAGCACGTTGAATATGTCCCTACGAAAGCTGGTAAAACTATTGGCCTCCTTTGTAAAAACCGTCATGTCTTTTCAACAAGTGTAACATTTTTTTTATATTACTCTTTGGTTTGCACTCACTATATATATTGTCATTTAGTTTGGGGCCAAAAAACAAAACATAATGTAACAAGACTACTACTAACCCAAAAGAGGTGCTTTTTGAGTTGTTTCCAATGTCTCTTTTTTGCATCCTTCTGAGGAACTCTTTTTAAAGCATAATGTAATTCCTATCGAACAGCTGCACACATTTCGGCTGTTGGTGAGTTATAATGTAGCGTGCGATAGAAATAAACTTTCTACTAAAAATAAAATTAATAATAAAACACAACAACACTTCTTTTTAAATTTCTGCAATGTCATGTTTAACTAAGTTTAACTAGTTAAGTTTAACTAAGTTTAACTAATAAGCTGCTGTAGCAGCTTATTACCCTCTTTTCTAACGTTTTCATTTTGTAATAAAAAGGAAAATAAAGGATAATTATTATATTATTATTTTACACACACTGTCTCTCCTCAGCGAAAACATCACTTACTTCAAGACACTTCCCACTTTTTATGCCTCAAAATAAAATTCTCAATTTAACTTCTGGTGCTTCAATTTTATGTGTGACTTAAAAAAAATGGAAATTTGTTTAAATTTTCAAGACTGTACGTTTATTCTTTAACAATCAAGCTTCAAGTGTATTTCTTAGCACACTTGAAGCCTATTTTCCAAAAGAAAGTCAAGTTTATATCTAAAAGTAAATTTTGAACCCTCCTAAACGTACACACACTTGCCGCATATTCACAGATACATGAATGCAAGAACGTGAGTGACTAAGAAAATAAAAAAAAATTGAAAGATGCCAAATATAGAAGCACAAAGGGAGATTCCAGGAGGAAACTGTCGAAAGACATAGACCGTTCGCTCTTCTTTTTAGTTTCATATTTCCAATTTTGAATTCACTGAACACTGTCTCTTCAAATTTAGGTATGAAATGATTGTTTACGAATTAAGTGTCCCAGGCCTGCGTGGAGATCGTATGGGTCACGTATGACTTCGCAGATAGACAAAGTCAAGTTTGCTTTCTTCACAATGCCTGTTATGTAAGAGACGAGGGCCTCTTTCCCAGCAAGGTCCACGGTTGGAGGATTGCAATTTTCGCAGATCTGGAAAGAAGGGAAGAAAGACAAAAATACAAATGCAAATAATTAGGTAAATGTAGTTTCTATTTTAAGTTGCAAATAATATTTGTCACATTTTTGCTCAGAGTGCCTTATTGCCACATACTAAAATAAAGTAAACATTTGCTTCCACAAACTATTAGTCTTTCAATTCTATTATCTCCATTGATACGTTCTTAGTCAAGTAAATGACAAGTTTTGTTAACCCAGTTTGATACATTCCTTTGAAAATTTAATACAAAAAATTATACTAATTTTCTTTTCAGAGAAGTTCGTTACGTAAGGTGCTGATATAAACAATGGCATTACATGCTGTTACGCACTTTTTTAAGAAATAATTTTGTTACGTTCTAATTGCTTTCTTGTAAAGCAATCTGACTAGAGGAACGCTTACTTGTGGGCGTTCATCAGCAATTAAATTGTGTTTTTATTTCCAGTTGCAATTCGTATGTATGCAGCAGTTGATGGGAATTACTTTTTTCTTGCCAAGGTATTGTACACTAAAATATTTTCGTCTCACCCGTTTTTTACACTCTGAATATGGCTACCACCACTGAATATGTGACGACAGTTGACGAAATTGGAATACTTGAACTTTTTCTCGTATGGTTACAGTGTTTTGAAGTTGTAAGAAGTGTGCAGTAGAAGTTCACTCCAGCAGAATGTAACTTTTTTGTGTCAGTCTATTTACTTTTAAATTGCATGAATGGCCTACAAGTTTTACACGTGGCGTCAACCCACTAGAAAGCGTAAGGAAAATTTATTTCTGATGTAGAATCATCCTAATTTGCAGTTTCATTTATTGCCTTTCCTAATTTATGTGTATTTAAAAGCATGCTGGGTAAAGTAAAGTTCGGATATTAAAAAACTATATTGAGTCTGGGTTGTTAAAAAAACTTTCTGGAACTCTCCTTTATTTTAATTTGCAGAATATGGTTCATTCTGGTATCATCTGCTCTAATAAGAGACAGAAGAAAGCGAAAAATTTGTTACCGTTGTTCTATTTTATTTAGTAAAATTTAAAAAGATAACATTTGTCCAAGCAAGTCTATGTTTAGTATATGAAAATAAATACATTACGTTTTGTGGAAATTATGTACAAATAAATTGACAGATGACAATCAAATTACACCATCAAATTACCCTAGTTTAACTGCTATTCCAGTATAACCAAAATCTCTTTTCAGTATTGAATAACTCGGAAATTCGATCGTCTTCACTCGTAATCAATTCGTTAAAGCTGAAGTATTTTTATTCCCCTACTTCGCAAAGAGTGGATTAGCAAAGTTCCGAAAAAAAACTGCAGACCGGAAAGTGGCCATACAATAAGTAATGTGAATACTTATATATGACATATTGCTATTGTGTTTCTTCTATATTTAATTACCTACTTTTGTATAACTCCGTGTGCAGTGAAATATACTAACCGCATCGTGCCGCAACTTCCAATATATTTACCGTAAATAAAGAAATGTTTATATAACTAAATAAGTCAGTACATAAATAAACAAACAAAAAATTGAATAAGTAAAAACGTTCAGTACACAAATAAATGAATAAATTCGTAGGTGAATATGTCACTACACTTATAGAGAAATGAAGAAATACTCTCCATATGTTGCGCGCAGAAATCTTAGCCGTTTTTGCTCGGGAGTTTCAAAATAAAGGCATTGCTATTTTTATCAGAAGGGATTTCAGATCTTTGTTTTTAAGTGAATATAAAATTCTCAATCTTCTATCTTTCGCTTAAATTGAGCCGATCGCGTGAGTGGCGCTTGCTCATCGCGCTCGACATCGTCTTTAAGCCGCGTAGGTGCTGACAAACATCTCAATCAACTACCACCTGCATATGGTGGTAGTTGATTGGCGAACACAAATTCGTATGAACACTCCAATAAACGGAGTGCACGGAACCTTTTCACAATGGTGTCTTTAGGTCATGCAAAAATCACACTCAAATTTTATAAGTGTAAGTTTCAACAAAAAAAAATACGCCCGAAAAATATATTTTTTCAGGCACAGGTAGCAAAAATGGTAAAAACTGCCTGGTTTAAGCCGCTACTCACCGCAGGTAGCACACATGCTCGGATCTGCTGGATCTGCTTTCAGGTATTCATCTCAAAGAAGCCTTGACATTTTATGTTTTGCTCTGGCCTTCATCACAATGCCTCTCAAGTGAACAAAGCGGACGGGAGATGACACTTCTGAATAGAAGCGCTGGCCCACTGAGGCTCGGCGTGAGAGTCGGCCAATGAGATGCCGAGAAAGAGAGGAAAACGTTTGTCTAAGGAAAGAGAAACTAAATGGCCCCCTTGTGCTATTAACAAGCGCTGAGTGGGGGTTCGATATTTGTTATAGTTTAATCTGCAGAATATGACCTTCATACAAGACGCGTCAAAATGCTACTGGCCTTTTTCTAGTAGTTTGGAGTGAAGCACCGCAGCAAAACAGCCCCATCCTTTTTTATTAACATTTACCTTGGCGTACTTGCTCCAGTGCGGCATTCCGGCCAACTTCTTCCGAAACCTCATTTGCGGGGTACTCGTCCTGAAAGTAAAGAGTGCCTCTCCTCCCGGCTTCATCAGCTTGGCAATGTTCTTGAGCGCCTGCTCCTGGTCCTTCAGCCAGTTCAGGAGGTGGAGCGCGTAGACGCGATCGAAGAGCCCATACCGCCCCACAAAGTCAGAGAGGTCGTCCGACATAATGTTGAGGGTGTCGTAGATGATCTTAGGGTGGTAGAAATGCTCTCTCGCATATTTTAGCATGTCCTTCGACATGTCGACGGCGACGAACCTTCGGCACGGTGGACACTGGGGCAGCAGCACGTCGCGCGTGATGTTCCCGGGGCCGCAACCAAGGTCCAGGAACTGCTGGTCCTCGGTCGGGCCGCTCGGGAACGACCCTTGAACGGAGCGCAGCACATCGGCAGCTGTGGAAAACCATTTCGCCGCAGATACGTTAATGTAGAGCTCTGGAATCAGCGTGTATTCGGTGGGTTCGGTGTTTGCCATTGCGACACACTCGAGGCAGGAACGACGAGAGATGCTTAACTGCTGCGTACGGCCAGACAGCCTGAAAGGAACTGAACGCTGTATTATCAGAATCAATATCAGACTGGGCAATATCAGATTGGGAAAGGCCACCGGACAGGACGAAATCCCCAAGGTGGTTTTGAAATCATGTGCTGATATCGTCGCGTCATATCTAATCATACTATAAACGAAATCATTAGAAAGCGGCTGTTTCCCTGATGACTGGAAAAGTGGAAATGTAGTTCCAATAGACAACAACGGCGCAAAAAATAATGTAAGTAACTATAGGCCAATATCACTAACGAGTGAATGCTGCAAAATAATCGAACATATTATCTATTCAAGTCTTGCGCGTCATCTAAATAACCATAACTTTTTTTCTACCCTTCAGCACGGTTTCTGCCAAGGTTTATCATGTAATACACAATTACTCGAATTTTATCACGACTTTGCTTATTCGTTTGATAGAGGCTCTCAAGCTGATTGTATTTTTTTTAAGAAAGCATTTGATGTAGTCGTCCACTCCCTTCTGCTTCATAAGCTGCGTAGTCTGAACATTAATACAAAAGTCCTGCAATGGATAGCAAATTATCTCGGTGACAGGAAACAACGTGTCGTCATTAACGGAATTCACTCATCATATGTAACCGTAACATAGGGTGTACCACAAGGTTCAGTTTTAGGCCCCCCTCTTTCTCTAATTTTTATAAATGATGTTACAAACGGAATCTCATCTCACATCAGGTTGTATACGGATGATTGTGCTTTGTATAAAGAAATACGCGGAGACGCAGATGTTGAAGTTCTACAGCGTGACCTAGATACCATTTCAAGGTGGTGCGACAGATGTAAGATGTTTCTTAATACATCCAAATGTATCCATGTTACATTCACAAGAAAACGTTAAATAATTCCTTCAGTTTATCTTCTAGGTAACCAGCCTTTGGGTCTTGCTACTGAGGCAAAATATCTTGGAGTTTTGTTGTCCAATGATTTCAGATGGAATAACCACGTCACGGGTTTACGTTCTAAAGCTAGCGGCATGTTACATTTCCTCCGTCACAACTTTCGGCAAATGTCTGCAGACCTGAAAGAGACTCTTTATTTCTCTTACGTTCGGCCAATTTTAGAATACGCTGGTATTATGTGGGACCCGTATACGCAAACACGTATTAATCAAGTAGAAAGGATTCAGAACCAAGCGGCTAGATTTGTTTCAGATAATTATAACTTCAGGGAAAGCTCCTCAGAAATAAAGCACACATTGGGTAGAAATCTTTGCAGTTTGGAGGGAAATGTCTACATTTAAAGTTTTTGCACAATCTTTATTATGGCAACACAGGTCTAACTAAGTCAAAATATTGTATAACGCCTTCCTACATTTCCCGCAGGGTAGATAATTCACAAAAAAGAAATTGAGAATTCTGTGCGAGGACTGATGTCCTAAAGTATTCATTTTTTCCCAGACGATCCATGAATGGAATATGCTCCTGGATGCCTTAGTAGAACATTCTTCTGCTTGCTCCTTCTTTGACACTATCATGTTGATGTAAGGTGCCCATCATCCGTTGTTGTATCAATTTTTTGTTTGTTAGCATTGTACTGAGGATTTTTTTTTTATGTGGCATCTTCTGTATATTTTGCTGTTGTGCGCTATTTCTCGTGTACTATCGCCCCCCTTACTGTAATGCCCACTGGGTGAATTAGGTAATAAATAAATAAATAAATAAAATCAAGGGTTGTAAGTGTATAAATCGAATGCGATGCAACGTCAGGCCACATGCTTGTCTCCTAAAGGCTCGATAGCGACAGGTGTGCAAGCAGATTCGGCTTAGACGTTCACCATCCTCCGATAATCCTTATGCGTTAAAAAGTAACTGGGCAGCCATATTTGAAATAAAACACATGTCGGGGTAGCCATATTGATTCGCCTCATATACATATCTGCAATAGTCCTAGGTTTCTAGTGAACAGAATCGCTATTATAAGATTTAAACTTTTTTTTAACTCCAGAAGAATTATAAGGAAGAGCGACGACCACTGCACCAAGTTCTCGATTGGTAAAAATAAGGTAAATGAGAACCCTCAGTATTTATTCTTGCACATGCAAGTTGGGCAACCTGTTATTTTCGTTTTAATCATTCAACTATTTTGTGTTTGATACAAAAATCAATAAAGAAAAACGTCAAACATCCGATTTTTTGGTGTTATGGTAGCATAATCGGAGCCTTGTTCCTTAGGAGTTATCGCAGTTTGCTTACTATAACGGGTGTTTCTCCAAAACTTTTAAACGTAGACAAAAAAGTTGTTTGAAAGAAAACAACAATTTCTTGTAGTGAACATACTTGCAAGTCCGGTGGAGGTCATAGATTCCCACAAATGTATTAGTTACACATAATTAACTCGAATATATTATGAACATTTTAATTATTAGCAATGAACACATAGTTCCTATTCAAAACATTCTGAGGGTAATAAAAAAAACAATACATTATTGATCACTTGAACCACATAGAAAGCCCAGGGGTGTGTTAAAGTTACCACATGGAAAGCAGGCCCAAGAACGGCGGTGGAAAAAAAGCGAATAATGAGGATAGAGTCCGGATTTCCGGACACGTTTTGAGTGAGTGCAGGATAGACAAGGATATATTTGGGTCCAATAATCTATGTCAGATTTGCAGTGACTGTATTGTGAATGCATAGAGTACTCGCAATTTTTTTATTCATATCTAATGAAATAGAATAAATAGAGATATGGACTACTGTAACATGCAGCCGGCTACTCCATTATAATATTAAACTCTTCCAGAAATGTGCCTTAAAAAAGTGAGCATACAAAGGACCTTAATAGCTGTACCACACTTGTAACGAAATATGTAATATATACAAATTATTTGGAAGAAAGTCTTGATCATCCCTCACTTGGTTGCACAGAAAATAAGGCGCTGTTAATGTCAACATTCAATCATGCTCGCGTCACTCACACCGGTGAATAGAAGTCGGGAGTTGCTGATTATAACGCAATTAAATGGAAAGGTGCAAGCAAGCTGGACAAGAATGACGAAAATAATCCCTGGAGAAGGGGAACAAGAGTGACAAAGGGCAAACACAAATCTCCAAACTCAGCTATGTGACTTGTACCCAACCGAAAAAATCCACCTGGTCCGGGTACCGAACCCGGGACCTCTTCATTTCCAGTGGAGTGTTCTACCAACTGAGTTAACCAAGAGTTAGACGTCAGTTGAGCAATCAGGTTTTATCACCTGCCACCACTCTAACACCAACAAGGGTGAAAGGCTTGCATTTTAATGTTATGATTGACCCTGGCAATGTTAATGTGTGCTAGCAAAACTCCGCTAAACAAATTCACAAAGAAAATATTGATACTGAACAAAGCGCACGCTTCTGGCGCAACTAAAATGAGACACCCCTAAACATGGGGTCTCATAACTACACAAAATCTACGAATTATCAGGTAAATGTTAAATATGAACTCGCGCCAAGCACCAGTTTACCGAACGAGAACCCAACATCCCACTTCGTTTGTCCGAATTGAGATTCCTGTGAGTCTTAATTTTAATAAATGCCTCCGAAAATATTGCGAATAAAATTTTGTATTGATATGAATAAACCGACCTGACCAGGGTGGAGCGATATCATGCTTTTTTGTTTTGCTTTTACTCTTTATTTATAACTTTAGTGCTATAAAAATGCTGAAATATTGTTGTCTTTCCTCGCGCAGTGGACGCAAAAAATAGGGTTCTGTGTGTTCGGTATGTACCAAGAAGCTACGAAAAGGGATGCTTAAACTGGCTTAATAAAAATGAAATAAAAATTGGAGTTACATTTTAATACTGTGACCTAGATTGACCTCTCAAAACACCACGTATTTTGCCTACTGTGACTTCGTACAAGGAAGATTGTAAAAGGAAGATTTTTCTTTCGATGCCGGATGGCGCGCTTTGTTTCCACAGAATCACTCGCAAGGAATACTCGAAGCAAGCCTACAGCAGGGGAATGGTTTACCAAAAGCGGTTGATTGAGAAGATGAGTCGTTTCTGATCCGTGGACTCCAATCGAAGTGAGAATACAAGAAGTACGTTTTCAACTTGCGGAAAAATACGTCGTTTTGAAAATGTGAAGTATTTAGATACGTAGGAGTTACTTTTTGAAGTAATTCTAAAATTACTTTTTACAATTAAATACTTTTTAGCCAAGATTAATTGCAGTTTCAATAGATAGCTTCTTTTCGTATTGCGTACAACACTGGTAGTAGTAATTAAGGGAAGTGGCGGGTCTTCAGTGCTTTAAAACAATTTCTATCTGGGCCGCAGCTCGTTTTTTTTTTTTTTCCTGTTTCGTTTTTCAAATCTTGTATTTTTTTGTATCAAACCTACATTAACTCTGAGTTAGCTTCGTTCCTGTCATCCCAAGTAACTTTGAAACATTTTTATTCTTTTGTCTAATACGGCCATCTTCAGCAGTGTTCTTAATACATCGTGTAGGTCGTAAATTTCGCAAAAAACGCGCCCACGCCTTGACACGCATCTGTCACTCTTTCCACTCGCTGTGCTGTAAAATCCTGTGAAGAAATTTTGATTGCGCCACCTATGGACGAGTACTCAAAATAAAAACTAGTTTCTCAAGATGACGCCTGAGAATAATTTGATACCCGTTTTAAAGGTGCTTTTTCTTCATAATAAACTTCCTTTTCGACATTTGTTTTGAGATATGCTGTACAATTCTGTATCAAAAACAACTTTCCGGGACACTCCGGTTTAGTTGCAGTTTTAGCGACACATGGCGTATCGACCTTCAAGAAGTTTCAAATCGTAGCTTCCCGCGTCCCTCCCAAGCTCGGCCCCGTTTCCCATCCCTCCATTGACCATCCTGCTACGGTCCGCCGGTGCATGGTGCGCCCTCCTTCTAGCGCCGTCCGTCTGCTTCAAATGCCTCGAGCTGTGTCGTGTGCGAGAAACGTTCCAGCGATAAATAAAATGAAAAAAAAGTCTGCTAATCGCGAATGATAGGCGCTAACAACGTGGA